ACATAATCTCAAGCGCTTTCCTTTAAAGCGAGCATTTCGAAACTGCTGAATCTATTCCCTTCCTGAAGCGGCTGACACTTTCCAAAATGACTAAAACCACGAAGATCACAGGAGTATGTCCTAACAATTCACAACCAGTGAGGAAACAAGTGGCCGTTCTGCATTATCAACATAACAAAGAAGTGATCAGCCTGCACAGCAAAGGCAGCATGTGTGTGTGTGTGTGGGGGGCTACTCTTTTTAAAAAAATCAAGATTCAAAGCATCAGGCACTAAAATGGGCATCAGAACTACTGTCCAAGTTCTGGTGTAAGCCAGACAATTTTGACAGCCACAGTTTTGGCCTCCAGGTGAAAAGAACCAAGGCCCAAGACAAAGCAAAGTACTCCTGAAATTAATTTAAACGTTAATCCCACCACATTGATAAATTCACCAGCATGTTCTACTACTTTAATGATAAGAGGAATGCATTTAGAAATGGAAAACATGAATAAATGGAAAACATGAATAAAAGCAATCCTAAAGCAGGTCTACACACTCAGGTCTATTCAATTGGCTTGCTCTCAGGAAAGTGTTCTCAAGACCGCACAGTAAACGCTTTAGCTCACAGTAGTAGATAATCATAGGCAAGGCTTCGTAACAAATTACACTGTAGTTATGGCAGGCTCAGTAACCTGGTCAAGTATGTACATCACAAGCCCATTAACATCAAAGGAATTTTAATTACTAGTGAGTAAGGCTGAAATGCTGGACATGCAGACTGGGGAGTAAGCCCAATGGAAGAATCAGAGGGAATTAATTCTGAGTAATAATTATAATGGTGCAACATGTTCTATTCCTTTGTTTGCAATGGGAATTAGCTTTGTTATAGCAACAGTGGCCCCTGCCACATGGGGGGGGAAAGCACGGCCAAAGTGTGGCTTTTTAGAGCAGCACCAAAAGAGACACGCGGCGGCGGGATCAGACAGATCCCCTGAGCCGCTGCGCAGTTGCTCCACGGCACGATCAGATGTCGGGGGGGGGAGCCACTGAAGGGAGAACGAGGCAGCCGGCTGCGCATGTGTGCACATGCGCAGTTCGGCCAGGAGCCTCGAATGCTCCTGAAGACAGGCGCGCCAGCGATCCCACGGCCGCACTTGCTGTGGCGTTTCAGGTAAGTCCTGCTCTTTTGCAGGTTCTTTTTTGCTATGTGTTTCCA